GCCAAAAGCCATGTGGAACAAACCACAAAAGTTGTGGGATAGTGTTCTGTGGACTGATGAAACAAAATTAGAACTGTTTGGGCCCATGGATCAACGCTAATGTTTGGAGGAGGAAGAACAAGGCCTATGATGAAAAGAACACCTTGCCTACTGTGAAGCATGGTGGAGGGTCAATCATGCTTTGGGGCTGTTTTGCTTCTGCAGGTACAGGGAAGCTTCAGCGTGTGCAAGGGTACCATGAATTCTCTTCAGTACCAGGAGATATTGGATGGAAACGTGATGCAGTCCGTCACACACCTGAGCTTGGGAGACGTTGGACTTTCAACAGGACAATGATCCCAAGCATACCTCCAAGTCCACTAGAGCATGTTGCAGAGGAAAGGCTGGAACATTTTGGAGTGGCCATCGCAGTCACCAGACTTAAATCCGATTGAGAACCTCTGGTGGGACTTAAAGAAAGCAGTCCACCTACTTGCGCAGTGCGCAAGCCTAAGAATGTGACTGAACTGGAGGCCTTTGCCCATGAAGAGTTCGATGGGCGAAGATACCCGTAGATCGCTGCAAGACACTTGTGTCAAGCTATGCTTCACGTTTAAAAGCTGTTATAACTGTAAAAGGATGCTGTACTAAGTACTAAGATTGAATGTCACTTGGGGGTTGAATAAAACTGATAATGCTGTGAGCACAGAAAAGACATTTGTGGGTTTTTTCATTATAACTGTTATGTTATATTTGTCTGACCTACAAGTGCCTCTTTAATGTAAATGTAAGCAAGATGACTGAATGATCAAAAGCAATGTCAAACTGGCCAAAACACTCAATTTCAGTGGGGGTTGAATAATTTTGGACACAACTGTATATGTCTATGTAGTAAGTAGAGGCTGCATTTAGGTCACTTTAGAATTATCTATGACAAGAAACAAAAAGTAGAAAAAGTAATAGAAATACGGCACATTTATATCTATAAATTACCATCAGTACAGGATATGATATATATATATTTTTAGTAATTCTACTGAAAAAATCCCCAATTGTAAGTTCTACTTTTGATGAACTCCATTACAGAAAGGTCACCTAACCACTAGGCTTTGTACTGGCCGCAGTAGCTGGGTGGAACTGAAAATTCTAGGGTCTCACCACTGGATTCTACCAGTGAGGTATAAGGGTCAACCTACCAAAAAACAAGATAAAAAGGTAAAATGCTAGTTTTGTATTGACCTAGCCATTCTCAGCCAGGGTTCCTCCAAGGGTGGCTAGGGTTTCCTTGAGCTGTGGCTAACTGACCTCCCATCTGATGGTGCCTTCATGGCTCCAGCTGTAATGCAAAACCAGCAGCCTGACTTCGGGGGGTCATTCTGGCCACAAATGTAAGAGGGTAATACTTTCCATTTATCACCACCAATGTAAGAGGTATTTTACCAATGACCACCTACTAATCTTATTAGGGGTTCCCTGATACCTGAATTTTTTTTTCAAAGGCTAAAAAGGTTTTGACCTAGCACATCACAAATCTAAAAACTTGCAACCAAACCTTCTTTAGCCCACGTAGAGAAAATAAAAAGTTCATTAAATAATTATTCCCATGCCACTTTTGACTTCATGAGCATGGAAAAGAAAGCTCCAAACTACAGCTTATGGACAGGCTATGGACTCCTTCCTTGGACCAATGTGACAACTGAGCCAATCAAGAGACACCTAGCATTGTTGCATAATAGAGGGCAAATGAGACACAAGTTCACCATTACCTGAAGCTGCATGGAACTAAAGCAAAGGTAAGTATGTGCTGGTGGGAAGGCAGGAGGTAAGGGAATCTTTTACTTTGCATGGGCAAAAGAGATTTATAGACTCCCTATTGTTCTCTAGCAAGATTGAAATTGGCCATAAAACAACCAAATCCTGGCCTCTATTTGACAGTTGGGTTGCTTAGAGCAAAGGTCTCCAAACTTTCTTAAGAAAGGGCCAGTTTACAGACCTGCAGACTTTAGAGGGTCTAGACTGTGGCCAGTGGGAGTTAGCAATGCCCAATCTTCAGTAGTGGGGTGAGGAATAGTGCCCCATCATTGATGTGAGTAGGAAAAAACAGCCCCATCCTTGGGGTCAGTGGAAGGACTAGTGCCCATCCTTGGCGTCAGTGGAAGGACTAGTGTCCTATCCCTTGGCGTCAGTGGAAGGACTAGTGTCCTACCCTTGGCGTCAGTGGAAGGACTAGTGTCCTACCCTTGGCGTCAGTGGAAGGAATAGTGTCCTACCCTTGGCGTCAGTGGAAGGAATAGTGTCCTACCCTTGGCGTCAGTGGAAGGAATAGTGTCCTACCCTTGGCGTCAGTGGAAGGAATAGTGTCCTATACTTGGTGTCAGTGGAAGGAATAGTGTCCTACCCTTGGCGTCAGTGGAAGGAATAGTGTCCTACCCTTGGCGTCAGTGGAAGGAATAGTGCCCCATCCTTGGTATCAGTGGAAGTAGTAGTGCCTCATTGTTGGTGTCAGTGGGAGGAATAGTGCCCCAAGGGCCAGATAAAAGCAAGTAAAGGGCAACATATGGCCCCTGAGCCGAATATTGGAGAGCACTGGCTTAGAGCTACTCAAGAAGGAAGATATTAGTGTTTCCATCAGGGTGGATTTGATTGAAATCACGATTGAAATCACTAGTGAAAAGGCTCAATTTAAATCAGAATTTTTAAAGAGCAACTGTCATCTATCCCACAGTGGCTCCTCCTCTGACCCTGCTGTTGGCTCACCGACAGTCCCATTCACTTTAATAGGACGGCTGGTGATGAAGCAGTGAAACAACAAGGCGAGGGACGTGGCGGCACAGGCAAGTGGATGCCCGCTAACAGGCAATGCCATGATGGATCTAAAATGACAGGTGCTCTTTAAATGTAAGGAATCCGACTCATTCTTGCTGGTAGTTAGAATCTTTAATATTTGCAAACCAAATGAAGGTTTCCTTTTTAGAATAATAAGCTGTCAGGTTAGTAAAAGGGGGATATCAGAACAGATTTTATGTTAGTAGGTTAATCAAACATAGTTGAAGAACGACTCAAATTCTTTAATTTCATGTTTTTTCTCATGTTACTGTGATATTGTGTGAATGCATCAATGCAGTGCATGTTCTCTCAGCTTGCAGAGCTTGGATTCATTGAAAGTTTACCAAAAATGTAAATATTTCAGAATATAGAGCCTCATGCTACATAACTAAGCTCTATTTCATGCTGAATAAACTATTATTTATTTCAGGTACTTATATAGCGCCGTCAATATACGCAGAGCTTTACATATATATTGTACATTCACATCAGTCCCTAACCCTCAAGGGGTGTACAATCTAAGGTCCCTAACTCACATTCATACATACACATACTAGGGACAATTTGGACAGGAATCAATTCACCTACCAGCATGTCTTTGGAGTGTGGGAGGAAACTGGAGTACCCAGAGGAAACCCACGCAGGCACAGTGAGAACATGCAAACTCCAGGCAGATGGTGCCATGGTGGGGTTCGAACCAACGACCCGAGTACTGCCAGGCTGAAGTGCTAACCATTTAGCCACTGTGCTGCCCTAAACTAAATTATTAATGTATCCCAAATAGAAAACTATCTTTAGATAGATTTTTACTCCAAAAGCATTTTATTAAAATACATTTGATAAAAATAAAAAAATCAGATTTAAATTCAATTTAAAAAATCAGATTTAAATTTAAAAAGTCCAATTTTTTTTTATTTAAATTTTTTTTTTTTCTTTTTAAATAATCGATTTTTATCAACCCTGTTTTCCATCCACTAGAAGGATTCATTTACACCTGTGTACATTTTCTAACCTGTTGGAAAATCTCTTAGAAATCCAGCCCATCCTTCCTTCCATAAGAGAAATATGTGAACCGCTTTGTTTTTTGGGGTGAGTTAATGGGAAACAGCAGTGGTCACTATAAAAAAAGGACGAGCAGAGGTCTTCCTGCCTGTCGTTTTGGGAAGACGTACCCATGAAAGACCAGCCTGAAAAGGCCAATTGCAAAAATAACATTCGCACGTAGCATATAGATAAAAGTTTCAGGTACTTGTAAAGTCTGGAAGTATTTGACACAAAGCTGTGACCACGGGGGAAGTCTTTTCCCCTTTGCACAACATTCCTGTCAAAGACATCGCAGGGAATTTTTCTGCGTCTAACAAGATTGATGTTCACTTGGATGCACCATTTCACACATGCCAACCTGCCTCTGCTGGAACTTTTACATATACTTGTGAATGTTACACTTTGCTTTTAAATACCGGATCAACTTGTAGTTTTAGTTTGCCATTTCATTCCTGCAACTTCCCCTTTGCTTTGAACAATTTTACTTACTCTCTTTAAGTGAGCCGGTCTTATCATCAAACATTCACAAAGAAAAAGATTGCAAAGAGAGAGCCAATTCATAAAGGAGTTCAAGGACACTTTGATAGTTCATCAAATAATAAAAAAAAAACAGCCGTGTTTTGGAGGTCTGAATGCTCCCCCCATGACAACACTGAACTGGATTTATATGAAATTTTCAGAGGTGATGCAATAGTTTGAATAGTAATTTAGTTATCACTCAAACAAATTTTGTATAAATTCAGTTTGCCAATTGTATTAGGGAGGAGCCTGCCGTACTGACGTCACGCCGTCCTCATGGAGGTCCGGCGGCAATCTTTGTGAGTGTATTTTGCCATTTCATTTCCACGTGAATGTTTTTACTCATTTAACCTCCCTAGCGGTATGATTATTTCATATTTTTGTGCTGAAAGCGGTACCATTATTTTGCATGGAAATATGTAGTTTTTTTTATTGTAGGCTGTAATTTTTAGGAATAACTCACTGAAATCTGTCCGAACAAGATTCTAAATCATACATTTAATTCAATAATATAATCAAACCAAAAACACTGAAATGTGAAATAGAGCGCCAAGTTCGCACATCACTGAGCAAAGTCGCAGAATCGTTTTCAGTGTCTGATGAGGAATTTCCCCCACGAATCATTATCACTCAATTCTGCAAGTGGTTCTGATTTACTATTGCTGTTCTCTAGCCGGTCTAAAACTGCGTCTGACCTAAAAGGACGCTTTTTGGACGCCATGGACTTTTCTAAGTTTCCAGGCAGAAAGAACAGTAAAAATGCAGGCAGGGCGCCGGACAAAGCACTCAGGACAAAATGTATGTAAAATGGGTTGAAACAGCAATGTTTTACTATGTAAAATCGTTTTGAAAAAAATGTCATTTTTTAAAAATTTTCAAATTTCCCGCCGCCGGCGCGCGCCCGTACATCCCAGGGACTGGAACACAGGAGCCGGATGCCGGCATCGGCCGGAGGAGATGGCCGGGACGCTGCAGGGGACACATCGCGGGAGTGAAGGACAAGGTAAGTGCTGCAGGGACTCCCTATGCAGCGCTGCATGGTAAGCCCGAGTGTAGCTCGGGGTTACCGCTTTTGGTACTGACATTTTACCCCGAGCTACACTCGGGAATACCGCCAGGGGGGGTTAATAAATAATTCTGCACCATAAGCGCTCCTTTCTTTGTGAGCTGTTCCCTTCAAGGTGGGACTGTGCTTGTTTCCTGATGGTGGAAAGATCTGCTGGAGTCCTCCTGTAACTCTGTGTGAGGTCAGTGGTGTTTATTCCCATACTGTGAGCATTAGCGTGGACGAGCCTGACCCGTGGTGGATCTTTTTAATTATAATGAGCATTTTATATGCGCTTCTGGTGAGTGCATTCAAAAGAAGTAATTCATCACGGAGTCACCTTTTATCACGGATATATTTTGGACTATTTATTGATATATTCGCATTGATGATTTTATTTATTATATATATTGGACATTTCACTATTGTCACTAATACAGTGTTAAAAACATGTAGTGCAGCGCTAAAACATGTTTTTATATGGTTTTATAGTTTTCCTTTTTAGTGTTCTAGCCGCTTTTTCATTTTTAAGCACTTCCTGTCCGGACACTTTCACCCCCTTCCTGTCCAGGGCAATTTTCAGCTTTCAGTGCTATCACACTTTGAATGACAATTGCGCGGTCATGCAATACTGTACCCATATGAATTTTTTACCATTTTTTTGAGACAGATAAAGCTTTATTTTTGTGGTATTTATTCACCGCTGGGATTTTTATTGAAATGAAAAAGTCCAAAAATTTTGAAAAAAAGTGTTTTTTTTTAATAAAATTTTGCAAATAAATATTTCATCATAAATCTTGGCCAAAATTTATTCCGTTATTTTTTTAGTAAAAAAAAAAAATCCAAATTAGTTTATAACCAAAAATTATAATTTTTAAACATTTTTTTTATATTTTTATTTTATTTTTTTTTTATATTATTTTTTATTTTAATTTTTTTTTACATACTGTCACCCTAGCAGTACAGTGTCACCATGATGACACTGTACTACTTGTAGGGGGTGATGAAGATTTTTTTTTTTTTTTTTTTTTTACACTGATTGCTTTTACACCCATATAGGATGTAAAAGCAATCATTTCTCTTTCTCTCTGTCTGCATTCTTGCAGTCATTGAGAAGTACTGAGTGAGCTGTGATTGGTCACAGCTTGTCACATGGTACAAGGCTGTTGTTAATAGCCTTGTACCATGTGACCTCTGTGATCATTCACAGATTTCACACGTAGTAAGCAATGATGTCACAAGTGACATCTTGCTTACTACTTTGCATGTGATCACTGATTCGCCAATCAGTGATCACATGATCGGGACCTCATACAGAGGTCCCGTCCGACAATCGGTGTTTCACTGTGTCCAGAGGACACAGCGGGCACCGGATCGCGGTGCTGCGCGCTTTCCCAGGGAGCGCGCACAGCTGGAAAAGGTGGGTGCCGTTTATGAACGGCAACCCGCCCCCCCCTGGAGTGCCACCACCCTGCCGTTTATAAACAGCAGGCGGACGGCAAGAGGTTAAGCACTCGCTGAACCCGAACTTTTACTAATACAGTGTTGTTTGGGCACACTTTTTGCTGGTATTCAGCGCGACACTTTCTATCAGTTACCATGATTCACCAGAACGCCACATTCAAAGCGCTTCACTTAATAGTTTTTCTGTGTATCTTCACCAATGTCACTCATTTTATCAGCATATTTTATTGTATAACTTTATAATCCTCCTGCGCTCTGAATGTCAAACTCTAAATAAAGCTGCCAACACCCCACCACATACCACAATGGACAATAATAAGATATAATAATGTGGTGCTGCGCTACAAATAAAACTTCACAAAAAACATATGAATACAAAAATACATCAAAATAAAATCCACATGCAATTAAATATAATGAAACCCCCCAAAATATTATATCTAGGGCGTACCTACGTGTACCATATAGGTGACATGAAATCACAGGATATATCAAAAAAAACACTTGCAATACCAAAAATCATATATATCAATGAAACCAAAGAATAGTGGTAAGGATAGAACCCCCCACTACTGTGCTAAACTGCACAAAAAATTTGGTTGTGAAAATATATTCTAAGGCAGGACTTAAAATTTCAAGTCCTGAGCTACTAGCCAGGCCTTAAGAGTTACTCCGCCCCCAACAAACACACACAGAGACACCTGTACAGACAGACACACACACAGACAGACACACACACACAGACACACACACACACATAAAAAGTACAGATACACACATGTAACATACACACAGACACATGTACATGCATACACAGAGACACACACAGAGACACACACAAAAACACACACAACATGTACACGAGCACACACACACACATAAAAATGTTGCAGTACTTCGTTGTTGACTCACAGAGCTGGGTACTGCACTCTAGGGGGAGGCAGAGAGCACAGCACACACTCCTTCCTTTGCTTTCACTGCGCTCAGTTATTGAGCAGTCTGAATGGCTCCCAGTGCCAATGACAGATCCAGCCTGAGCTCCAAGCCTGCTCAGCAAGACGGCCCTTAACACCATTCAAACTTCATTATGGGCATTTGTGGGGCGTTTTTAACGCTTGGCAAATGCCTAGCAAACCGCCGCTAAAACGTTTTTGGAGCGTTCAAAACGCTCCGCAAATGCCCAGACCAACACTTGTCAAACTCTATAGGGGCGATTGGCAAGAAAAAAAAAAGTCAAGTGTGAACGAGCCCTTGTGTAGCTGAGAACAGGGGGGGTATGTGATCAAAAGGAGGGGATAAAAAAAAAGTATAATTTTTTTTATATCTATACACAAATGTTTTGCTTTTCATAAAAAAAAATTTTAAACTGAATGGGTTCTTTTACAAGGTGAAAAAAATTACATATACTTTTAAGCCTGCGCTGATCGACACAGGGTGTCAATGAGTTGTGAGGTTTGGGTTTATATCTACTTTTACACTTCCACACACTATCTAAAAGTTAATACAAAAAAGATTTGTCTTCTGAAATAATTGAAGCGATGGGTTGTGCCCTTTAATACCAATAATTCTGCTATGAAATTTTATTTTCAAGAAAAAAAAAAAATGAAATCTTTCAGGTCCTATGAGAATTTGAACCCATGTCTACATACAGGCTGCGGCCCCCATGGTCTTCTTCCTCCCTGGCCCGCGTGCAGTTGTAACTCCATTGCCTGTCTGAACACTATAGCATAAAAAAAAGTCACTGCCTGCCTGGGAGGGAACATTTCTGTCCTCTGGGATTCTGCTCAGGGCTGCCTAAACCACCTCCTGTAATTGTGCCAGGAACCAGATCAAAGGCCCGTCTTCTCATCTCGTGCTGGGTTTTTGTTATGTTAAAGCTCAAAAAAAAAAACCGCTTTGAAAAAAAAAAAAAAAAATCAGAAGGGTGTTCTTTGCACCTCCACTGAAAATATATAAAAAAAAAAAAAAACAACACCCACACACACGTCTGTGCAGGGCCACAATCCACCTGTATATGCTTTTTTTCTGCATTAATTGTATTTTCTTTTCTACAAACAGAGCAGACACCAGAATTCAGGGGCCTGCAGAATGGCTGCCCACCAGCAAGATCCCCTGGGAAAGTTTCTCAGCACAAAGCTAAATACAGTTCCCAACACAGGCGTTTAAAGAATATGCAACTTTTTATATTCCTGATCTGTGCCGGCTGTACCATGTACTTGTATGAAAAAGTATCCTGTTCTCTTTGTATTGCTTCTTTCCTGTGAAATCCCTGGTGTTCCTGCCAGTCCCTCTGCTGTTTTCTTTTAAAAATTGATCATGCTAGGCAGGAGAGCACAGGGTGGTCAGTTTTCCAACTGTGTTGGAAACTCAGCCTGCTCTCCTCCAATGATCAGACTTGAGCTAACACTCCCCCCGCCAAAACACATATATATACACATACACAAACACACACACAAAAAAAAAAACAAAAACAAAACAACAAAAAAAAAAAAAAAACAACACACACATACACACACACACAATAAAAAAACACAAAAAAACACACACAACACAAACACAACACACACACATAAAAATAATATACACACCCACAAACAACAAAACACACACAAACACAAACACAAAACAAAAACAAATATATACACAACAAATAATACACACACACAAAAATATAACAAACACACACAAAAAAAAAAAAAAAATACACAACACAACACAATATATAAAACACAAAACACCCACATAAATAAAAAAACACAAACAAAAAAAAAAACAACAAACAAAAAAACAACAAAAAACAAAACACACAAACAAACACACAACACACACAACCCATAAAACAAAAAAAAAACCAACACACAAAACACACAACATATACACACACACACACACACACATAAACATAAAAAACACACACAAAAACATAACAAACACACACACACACACACACAAACACACAAAACACATCAAAACAAAAAACACACACACACAAAACATAACACACACAAACACACACACACAACAAAAAACACAACCAATATAACACTACACAAAAAAATACATATACACACACACACACATACATATACAACAACACACACACACACAATATAAAATATATACACACACACACACACATACATATACAATAAACACACAAAAAATATATATACACACACACACACACACACATATAAAATACACACACACATATATATACACACACACACACACATATATATATACACACACACAAACATATAAATATACACACACACACACATATATATATACAGTTGCAAAAAAAAAGTATGTGAACCCCGTGGATTACGTGGAGTTTTGCATGAATTGGGCATAAAAAAAAAACGTCATCTAAGTCACAACAATAGAAGAACACAGTCTGCTGAACATAATACTACACAAACATTAGATGTTGCCATGGTTTAATTGCACATAACATGTAAACATTCACAGTGCAGGGAGGAAAAAGTATGTGAGGCCCTAGCTTAATGCCTTCTCCCAGAGCTAATTGGAGCCAGGAGTGAGCCAACCTTGACTCCAATCAGTGTGATGATA